AATTTGAAAGCTTAGTAACCAAGAGTGGAACATTTACCTTTTAATAAAAATAAACATTTTGTATTATTATGAAAATAAATGGATATTAATGATATGATAACTCCAGAGCTCACAAACCGTACAAATAATGTTTTATTTGTAAAATCTAATTAAATTAAAAGGTTATCAAAATAATTAAACCAAGTAAACTTTATTCATTTGAAATACTTTAAATTTTTCCAACAATCCCCCACATATTTCAAATGAATATTTTTAGATGTTAAAAATAGTTTAGAAAATTTCTGCTGGATTAAAGGAATGAGACTTTAAGTTTGGTGTCCGTAGACTATGAACCAAACCGAGACGACTAAGTCTTAATAAACCGAGCTTGTGGTGAAACCTATAGTTTCTTGAAACCAACAAACTACTATTGGTAAATCAGGGTCTTAACGGTCGTGTCTCACCCCACACAATTTCTCGTTATTACGCCGTTGTGCGCCGTAAGGCCATGCGCGTGCTTGGTTTTCATGAGTGCTCTAAAAGTTTTGTCATGCTTCATGGAGGCAGCCCCACCTCACACTCATATAGGTGATATCATCAAGTGTGTACCGCTTTTGCACACCACCCTAAAAGTAAGGGCTATGATAATCATTAAGAGCTTTTAGCTCATCCTCTCAAAGTATGCGGTTTCTAGCCTATATCTCACATCATGGAAATGGGCAATTTTAGTTAGGCTAGCAGAACTAAATGGAAGACTTGTTATTACCCATTTGAACTTGCTTCATGGGATCTCCAATCACACAAGTTGGGTTCCCATCCCCATTCGTTTCAAAGTGACACTAGTCTCATTTCCTTCGATGTTTTGGTTATAATTTTTCGTCCTAGGGATTCTGTCAAAGGAGTAGCTAATTCCTTCTGACTTCACAAAATTAATGGAAATTATTCCATTCTCAAACATCATTGCACCGCTTTTAAGGGTGAATGGATATCCACAATTTTAATTTGTCTCATGCGAGTCGACTCAGATGGCGTCGTTGTATTCCGGAAATACAACGGATAACCCTCAATAAAATATAACATCGATGTGACCCTCTAGCACATCGGATAATTCTCAATCAAATAAATATCATCATTGTATCATTATATTACAATGGATAATTCTCATATAACATCATTGTACTACTCTAGTACAATGGATAATTCTCAATAAAAACATATATCATCGTTGTATCAATATTTTACAACGGATAATTTCAATCAAATATATCATCATTGAAGGTACCTCTCAAATATCTCAATAACCGCCTCAACGCAGTCCAATGCTCCTTATCAGCAAAAGCTATTTTGAGCCTCAAGATCACCTCTATTTTTTTAAGTACATATGAGAGTCATAAGGGATACTCGATCACGGAATGACATTGAAATGTCCAACCCTCTTTAGTAGTTTTCCAGCATGATGCTTTTGAGATGTAGTATAATACCATCATCATATCCTTCCTTATGGCTTTCATACCTAAAATCACATATTATCCACATATAAACAAATAATAATGCACACGTACACCTTTTCACATTTAGTGCAAACACACTTATCTACTTCTACTGAGGTAAAATCATGAATAAATAACACTACGTCAAATTTTCCATTCCATTGTTTTGGAGCTTGTTTCAATTCATATAAAAATTTGATCAACTTGCACACTTTGTGTTCCTGATCAGTGACCACATGACCCCCAGTTGCACCATATATATTTCTTCCTCTAGCTCTCCATTTAAAAACACAATTTTAACATCCACTTGATGAAAAATATTGTGAATAGAGTCGATTTCAAGCTTATATGGCCCCAAGATTTTTTTTTTCAGTTTCAGAATAAAAACAATAATTAAAAAACATTTCCAGAAGATTTCTCTATCTTTGGCTTCTTACTTCTTCTTAAAGAGAATATTCGTCATTAAAAGAATAATTTTCTTTTAATGGATCACTACCACTAGAGGGTTCATCATTAAAGGTTTTATTTCCTTGTAATGGATTATACTCACTATCTGGTGCAGCGGTCTTGTGCTCAAATTTTAAAGGACATACATTTTTTCAAAAATTCAGCATTTTTGTTTCAACAACGTATAATATAAATAAATAATCATACATGCATCATTTAGTGTGTACACATTCTCCAAAAACTAATACATTAATATCAGCAATGACAGAGCTTAAATTATTGCACATTAGCACACTATTTCTTCAATTTATGAAAATCACATATGTGCTCCATTTTTTTTAATGCAAAAGTAGCCAAGAATTATAAAGCTCATTTTCACTCAATGAGATAGGTAATAAAAATATAGCTAAGCTCCCCCACAATTTTAAATATTTTAAAACAGGTGCATAGCCCTTCTAGAATTCATAGAGAGATAATTTATATCTCAACCTTTATTTGTACACAATGATTTTATCAAATAAAAACTCTCCTTTTAAATAAAATAAGATAAAATTTAGTTTATCTCGAAAAATCACCAATAAATGTGACAACTACTTTTACCACCTCTAAACACAGCGTAGATGCTCTAATAAAATTTATATAAATAATTCATCAAAATATCACAATTTTCTAGAGGTACTCACATGTCACTAAATATTAATCTTACGATATTTAGGAGTTTCATAAATCAAATAAAAAATGCTGCCATGTAAAACGCCAAATCTATTATATCACATAACACAATAATCAACCAACCGAAAGTACACAGAAGCATTATCATGCAATATTTCAGAAATGCCAAGTATATAAGGTCCTTTCTTACAATAGCCATTTCCCACAAGAACATCATTTTTGGTCATAACAAAATTATCACAACCAAAAGAAACTTTAACCCCAACTTTTCCCAAGAGATAAACGGAAACTAAATTAGTCCGAATCTCGGGCACATGAAGCACATCATTTAGTGATAAAGTTTTCCCCGATGTGAGTTTAAGAAGAACTTTCCCTTTTCCATGCACCTTAACAGTTTTAGAGTTCGCTAGGTACACGAGCTCTTCACCATCTCCTATAATGGTATAGGAGGTAAAAGCATTTTTGTTTTTACAAATATGCTTGGTATCCCCGGAGTCTACCACTCACTCATTCACATCATTAATTTTACAACTTTGAGAAACAACCGCAATAAAATTATCATCACTACTAACCAAGTTTAAACTTGATTTTAGTGGGTTGTTATTTTTCATAGTTGTCATTTTACCACTAAATAAAGGAATAATATTTTTCTCAAAAATTGGTGTTAAAGTATGACTTATTGTAAGTAGGAAAGTAAAAAGAGTAAGCATTATACGTAGAGATTTATCCAAATACAAGTCTAAATCACACCACACATGCAAGAATAACATGACCGTGATGAGTGCAGCGACAACGCGTTGTGAGATCACATGTGCAGACATATCCGACGCTAAATACTTTCTTGAGATTGTTGGAGGAAATTCGCCGGATAAACCTGCAAAAAATTGTTAGAAAAATAATATAGCTCGAGTCGCGTAAACGCTGTCCTCAAGAAAGTATTTCCGACTAGCGAAAACCTTTCCCCAAGATAAAACGAGCTCTTCGGCGTAAGCCGGTAACAGAACAACGAGAGTAAAATATAATTAATCCAGCAGAGTTGTAATGTATTAGGGGATGTTGAACGCAAAAATAATTTTATCTCACAATCTTCTTAACTAGCTTGGCTGAATGCACATATATATACTCAAAGAGATGAACGTTGCTACATGCTCGATCAGATGAAATGTTAGAGTAGTAACGTTCATATTATTAATCAATAAGATCCCACTAATGTTGAGATTAATGTTGAAAAATTCTTCAACTCCCACTAAGTTAATTAAGCATATACGGAGTATTAGTAATAAAAGCTCAAGAACGTTTCATACGTTTATGTTGAGCCATTATTAATTTGAAAGCTTAGTAACCAAGAGTGGAACATTTACCTTTTAATAAAAATAAACATTTTGTATTCTTATGAAAATAAATGGATATTAATGATATGATAACTCCAGAGCTCACAAACCGTACAAATAATGTTTTATTTGTAAAATCTAATTAAATTAAAAGGTTATCAAAATAATTAAACCAAGTAAACTTTATTCATTTGAAATACTTTAAATTTTTCCAACAATGAAAAGATATTCTTGGTAGTTTATTTGAAAATTGATGCTCCAATACTATATTTGCAAATCAATACTATGAGTTCAAGACTTAATTGCAATCAAAGACTATTCACTTATTGTACTTGATAGTTGATAGCAATTAATTGATAAAACAATTTCAATTAGAAGATGTACTTTATTACCCCATATTAAGTAAGTAGATTGATTGATAATATCGATAAGTCAAAAATAGGGTCAAGACTCTAAATGATTTAGAGCCCGTTGGGTAACACCCAAATTGTCTACATTGGCTGACTCTCTTTAAATTTATTAAATTTAAAATATATTTTAGTAATAAAATATAGAAAATATTAGATGAATAAATAGCTAAAGTGATTCTCTACGGTGACTTCGGCCAATACAGTCAGAAAAGTAACTATAACCTACTTTTTATACTATTACAAAACTCGGAGCGCGAAATCAAAAGTTACGTCTTTGATGAAAAAGATAAATGATAAGTCCGGTAAGCCAAAAAACATTTCACCGCCAAACAGGCTTTAGAGCCCGTTTGGTAACACTGAAATTCACTGAATCTGCTGTTTCTGCTGATATTTATGAATTTCTGACTGAAGTGACTGTATTAGCTGATTCTGCTGATTTATGAAAAAATTATATATAAAATTTACTATCGTATTTCATTAATAAAATAAAGAAAAAATTATATTAAAAATAGTCAAAATGATCCTTTACAATAATTTAAGTCAATAAAGTCAGAAAAATAACTTTTACCTTATTTTTTCTTATTAAAGCACAATTTAGCACGCAAAATGAAAAGTTATGTCTTTAGTAAAAAGTTGGCCGATGAATGAAAACCACCAAATGGGCCGTTAAGTTATTTGGCCCAAAGTGTTTGATTCTGTCCAATTCACCCCATCTCCCTTCTCCCGACTCCCATCTCCCATCTACCAGCGACACGGTCGTACGCTATACTGCTCTCTCCCTTTCCGTCTCTTCCCTTAGGTCGGAGGCAGTCTACACCACGCCGTTGTCTAATATCCTGAGGTTAGTCGATTATTACTGTCTTCTTATTTTATCTCATCTTGTTTTGTTTGTTCCTACATATCTTATTTCATCTTATCAGCAGTGAATAGATCAAGCTTAGAGAGTTAGAGGGTGTTGTTGAGGTTCGTTCTCTATCTTTTCTTTCATTTAAACGGTGGATAGTTTTCTAAATTGAGGATTTGTAATAATCTGTAATGTAATGACCAACCAATTTTAGTATTTCAATTTATATGATGAATTTTATCACATTCTCGATATCATTTTAATTTTATGAGATGCCCTTGAAGGTACAATTTCCATTTCAGATTTAGTTTTGCGATTTAATACAATTTCTAACGTACTTTTTGAATATGTATATATGCATAATTGCATAAATCAATTATAAACACGCACAATTGGCACAAATGTGCATTATCAAAAAAATTAATCAATTTAGTTATTAGTCATCGTTGTAAATAGCATAGAGAAACTTGTAATCAGATGATAGAGTATAAAAAATGAAAAAAAAGGTTTTTTTTTTACATAAATATTACTAAAATAAAACTTATTTACACAAATATGACTAAGAGTTACTACAATGTAATGTCATGGTAATATAACTATAAAAATTGAACATAAGTTACTATGATTTCATTACTATTCTACTCACTAGTCACATTTTTGTAAATCATCTCTATTTTAATCATATTTATGTAATTAGAACACACATATAGGAAGAGAAATGAAAAGCACAATGTTTTTCAATAATTGATTTAATTTGTAATGATCCCATACCGATCGAGTATGTGCTTGATCGGTGGCTTATCAGCTAGGTGTCCCCTCTTCCTATTGACTAGTCTTTTGGACTTGATTTCTACACCTGGGCTTATCGCTTTGATATGGGTCTAGTATGGGCTAGGTCCATAATATAATTATAAGTTGAAAATTTGTGGACATAAACTACATTTCATGAAGAACATTATCACAAAATTTCATTAAAAAATTCGACCAGAAGATCCTCAACCGGCTTAGCATCTGACCACAGCCTGACCAGATCATTGCTCTCGAAAACTACTCATTTTTTCTGTAGAAGTTATATTTTTGGATTTCCACTGACACATCCATCCGCGAGTCGGTAAGCCGTCACCGTTTTAATTTTCCCTTTTACTATATTATTCTCAGCATTGGTGTGATTAAAGATGGCTATGCGGCTTTGGGCATCGACTGCTGCCACTTACCTCAGGATCTCAGCTTTCCCCAGAGGATTTGCTACCGGTAAAGCTCTTTTGTCTCTATTCGTGTGAATGTGTTTTGGGCAGTATTCGTCAGACTTTTCTTGAGTCTTGCCGAGTTGGATAAATCTCATTGATGCGATTAGATTATGTGCAATTGCTTGATATGTTTTTTCTTTAACAAAGACATGGTTTTGGGACATGGGACGTGCTTAATTATATGCCATATATCAATTGATATAATAGAACCTGCTGCTTGTTTGGGAAAAAGCTTTTTTGAATAGAAATTAAGTTTCCTATATTTCCAGGAAAATGGAAAATTACCTGGTTTCTGAACAAGTTAGAGTTTATTGGATGCCTTCATTGCTGTTTTTCTTTAGCAAAGCACTTTCTATTCTCATCTGGTCATGCTTGTTTGCCATTTCAACCATTTTCATGAACTTACTTCTATCTACTCATATATCACTTTGATCATCAGTGTCTTGATTTATTACGTCGTATGTTGAATTTAAATTTTATAAGTGTGCATTGTATTGATTCTCAAGTTTTTTGAATGTTGAGTAGACAATTGATATATGGACCTGAGATAAGGAATCATGTTCAACAATGGGAGTTCAACATGGACTATGTTCACAAACAGGACTAATTATGTGTTTTCCCAAAATAGGACTTATGTACTCCTAAATCCTAATAAAAAAATAAATGCAGCTAAAATCTTCTTCTTTTTAATGTGACTGTGTCATATTGCTGGAAAAACAAGGTGGTCGTTTTTGAGGAAACATGTTATGTTTTGGTCCTGTTTATGGAATTTTGTCTTTATTTAATACGGAGTAATAAGTAACTGAAAACTTGAAGATCCATAAGATATCTAGTAATGTGCTTGATATGTGTCATATGTGTTACTCCCTCCGCGGCTCCGCCCCAAAAAGATTGGCCAATTTGACTTTTCTTGGTCAATGGTGATGGAGTTTGACCAACGATATCTTTTAATACAAAATCATTTAAAATATAAAAATTTTATTAGCATATTCTTTATTATAAAATCTTTCATAAAAGTATAAAATTTATAAATTACACATAAATATAATTTCTAAAATCATTGTCTAAACTTTAACACCATTGACCAAGAAAAGTCAAAATGGCCAATCTTTTTGGGACGGAGGTAGTATGTTTTTAGGTGGACTTGTATGTAAGTGTAATAAATATGCTACAATAGTGACGGTTTTGTATTCTCATTTCACTATTCATTTGTAATACTTCGATATTTGCTGGCAATGCTAATGTGTAAGGATATATAATGTAATAAATTGTCATTGTAAATTTCATGCCAAGGAACTTGATTAGGTAGGATTAAGGTTTTGATTCTAACGATGATATACGTATGAAACCTGGCATGTGAACCAGAGCCGGGGTCTGAAATGGGAACATTGATAATCCTGGAGACCCTGCAGCCCACATTAATGAGGTAGTATAAGCAAGAAAATTTTAAAAGTGGTATGTTTTAATTATTTATGAGTGTTGTTTTCATTAAAATTTTGACTTACGAACACACAGTTTAAATAATCTAGTGCAGTTGTGAAGCATGGTAATATTTTTTATAATGGACCTCTCTGTGTTCTTAAATCATAATTTTATTAAAAAATGTCACACTGTTTGAAAGAGAATTAATCTAACATAAATATTGAAATCTTGGTAAGAGGTATTCTGTTTCAATAAAGCACCTAGGAGGGAAGATCAATTTAAAAGTATTGGTGCAATGTCTAAATAATGATGGCTGATGGTAATATTGTGCACTATCTTTCTGTTTGCTAAGTTTTCTTTTCCACATTGATTTTTTGATATATTTCATTTCTAATTTTGTACTAACTTCTAATTCTATGTCATTTGATGTCCATGTTATATGACATCATACTTTTGGTGTAATATTCAGCAATATTTTATTTGTTTTTGATAAATTTTCCTCCATTCAATTACCATTCTTATGGTTTGTACACATTGGAAAGCAAATCGTCCAAGATTAAAAAGTTTGGTAGCAATGTATGGACACTCTGAATGCCAAAAGATGGGGAAAAAACGAAACAGTATCCTTTTGAAATATGACAACGTTAATAAATTAATGATGATTTTCTTTTTACTGTTTGTTTCAGTGGTCAAGGGTTTGGAGTATGCAGAAAGTCATGAATGGGTTAAAGTTAATGGAAGTTCTGCCACTATAGGCATTACTGATCATGCTCAGGAGCATCTGGGTGATGTTGTGTACGTTGAGTTACCTGAAGTTGGTAGTGATGTGAAACAGGGAGAGAGTTTTGGTGCAGTTGAGAGTGTTAAGGCCACCAGTGATATCTATTCTCCCGTTTCTGGCAAAGTGGTTGAAGTTAATGAGAAACTAACTGAATCGCCTGGTCTGGTATGTTTTTCTTAGCTTATAGTTATATACAAACACAAATACATGCGCGTGCACACATATATGTATGTTGTAAACCCCAACCTTATTATTATGAGAATGTTTAATCTCAACCTTTCATTATTTTCAATGTCTAGCACACATGAAGATTTAAATGGGGCTTTTTGCAAGTATTCTAAAATAATTACAAAAATGCCACCTTGTCGCTTTCTGCCATTAATTAGAAAAATGAATGGTAAAGATTGAAAGTTCTCATTAATAAAAGTGTTCTCATATTAAGAGGGGTTCTCACAAGAACCCCTATAAATGGGGTGTATATATAGGGTGCGGTTATTATAAATAAATAAAAAAGGCTTCTCGTGGAATATGCTTATATGCTAGCATTTGGACTTTTTATTACACCCTTTGATGCTCTATATAATTGGTGTGTTGCACTTGTTCATAGTAACAGGAAGTTTTGGTTTATTTGCCAAATTGCCGCCATGCTATTTTTTTAATCTAATGCATTATTGGCAGAACTGGATCTGTTAGATCTCTCATCTCATATTAAATGCAATGAATTCATTCTCATGTGTCTTGGAAATGAATCTTTTTATGTGAAGCAAAACCTATGTGTGTGTGTTTAGCAAATCAATAATTCTTGTCAAATGGGATTCAGGTTAATGGGAGCCCATATGAAGATGGGTGGATCATTAAAGTGGAGATAGACGGCCCCAGTAAACCAGGATACTTGATGGATCCAGACCAGTATTCTAAGATCTGTGAAGAAGATGGAGATCATTGATGATGATGACCAAAGCTTTCTTGAAGCCTTCCAATGCCCGGATTCTCATCTCATGCTTACAATATGGCGCAATTGAAGCTTTGTTACCAAATCTATAGTTATTTTTTGGCTGATTATTAGTTTTGCTTTTGGAGTTGTTGTTTACCCTCATCCACGACAAGTTGCAGAACGTGAACTACTTTGATGTTTCATTGAGTTGTGGTTGCTAATAATCTTTCTATAAGAGTATGATGCTGGTTTTCTGTGCATGAATTTTAGCAGTTCTGGGTATGACTCATAGGGTTTCAAGAATATTTTGAAAACCACAATAGAATGAGTATGCTGTAGCATATATTGGGGTTTATGAGTGTTAGAACACATTGGTGACTGGCCTATGGCCACCATAGACTAAGAGGCCGTTTGGGAACACTGTTTTTCGGCTTATCAGACTTATCAGCCAACTTTTTCACCAAACAGTTAACTTTTGCTTTCGCGCCCTGAATTGCGTAATAAGCCGAAGAAGTAAGGTTATAGTTACTTTTCTGGCTGTATTGGTTGAAGTTATCGTAGATGATCATTTTTGTTATTTTTACATATAATTTGTTCTTTATTTTATTAATAAAATATATTTTAAAAATAATTTTTTCATAAATCAGCCAATGCAGTCACTTCAACCAGAACTTTAGAAATTTCAGCAGAATCAGCCAAAACAGTTGATTTTCGTGCTACCAAACGGGCTCTAAATACACATAAATTTGTCTTGGTTTGGAACTTTTGATCCAACCGAGCTCTAATCCTCTTTCAACCGATATAAATGGTCAATAATCAATGTCAGGCATATAAGGTGCACCCACCGGCAATTTGGGATATAATGTTCTATTGAGAAAATGATCTTAAAAGAGAAATGAAAATAAATTTGGATCGTTAAATTGTATTCTCTGAAATTGAATGCTCATTAGGTGAAATCGAATGTGCACCACAAAAGGTATAAGTGTATAACACAATGACATTATGTGAAATTGAATTATGGATTAGGTAAATCTAAAATGTGTAGAATAAAATCTACGATGGTAGCATTTTTGTGTTTTTTATTCTGTACATTTTAATTTCACGTAATGCACATTTGAGTTTTACTTTTTATTTTGTACAATTTAATTTCATTTAATGCAAATTTCAAATTCATCTAATGAACAATTCAGTTTCACAATTCAATGGTGCAGATTCATTTTCATTCGTCCTTGAGAGTCGTTTATCACCCGAACCCCACTTCCTTTCATTCCGTATTAGCAACAGATTACAACATTCAAATTTTAAATTTTAAAACTTTAAAATTAGGTGAATTTAACAATAATACTTTTTAAAATCTAATTTATAATCCATTAATAAATAAAACTTGGTCAAATTAGAGTAGATTTTTTTGTCAGGTTTAGTCCTCTGATTATTATTTCACTAAACACTTTTGGCACTCAACTTTAAATTTTTTTCACTTTTAGTCTTTCGACTATTGTATAAAAAACATTTTTGGTACTCATCTTTGAAATTTTCTATATTTATTCGTTCGACTTTCATAAAAGTAAAAGTGACACTTTTGGTTATTCAACTATTATAATAGTGTTATTTTTTGGCCTTCACTTATTGTGACAAAAATCATAATGAGAGAATTAAAAATGTCAATTTCATAATACTAAACTAAAGAGACTAAATGTGAGAAACTAAAGCCACATTCTCAGGGTGTTTTCCCAAAACACGGGAAAAGCTAACATTTGCTTCCAAAACACGGGAAAAAATTAGGATTTCTAAGAAAGGGGAGTCGGGATTGCCTATTCCGAAAAGAGTTAGGGTTTTGAAAAAATTAGAAGAATTCTTCCAGTCGAAATCCCCTATTCCGACACTAGTTTTTTTTTAATGCCACTCGGAATAGAGGTTTTTTTATAAAAAAAAAAAGTAAGGTATGTGCAGTTTTCTTTATGAATTATGATGAATACAGATGTGAGGCGTTACTTTATTTATTTATTCATTTATTTATACTAAAGTGATATTTTTAAAAGTAACATGTAAGTTTTAAATGTGTTTAGCTGATGTAATTGATGTGATGCATAAGTTTATTAATTTTATTTATTTATACTAAAAGTGATATTTGTAACAGTGACGTGTAAGTTTTAAAAGTGACATTTAAATTGTATCAGATTAAATTTTATCTAAGTTTAACTGATTAAATTTTATGTGATTAAATTTTATCTGACTAAAGTTTAACTTATTACAGTTTATTAACTACATTTTATTTGATTAAAATCATGTCAAATCAGAAGGATTCAGATCATATTGGAAAGATTCGGATCAGATCGAAGATTCAGATCAAATAAGACCATATCAGAAAAATTCAGATCAGATAAAAAATAATCAAATCAGATAAAAACGATTTAGGTCAGATCAGAAAAATTTGCATCCGACTAAAAGTTATAAAAGTTTTAAAATTTTAAATAAGGTCAATTTTTTAAAATTGTAAAAGTTTTTTAATTTAAAATTTTTTCAAAACAAAGTTTTAAATTCCTGTCAGGAATTGTTAATTCCAAATTTAAAAGTTTTTTTTTTAAAAAATTCCTGTCATATTTTTTAAAATGAAAAAATGCATTTTGGTTTTACTTTATTTTATTTTTTAATCCATCCGTATGGTGCATGTGATTTTTGGATTTTAATTCATTGTGGGATATAGTTTTTCTAAAAAAAAATGGTGTTACCCCCTAGTCGATCGGATTTACCAATTCCAACATGAGCATAGTTTCTTTTTTTGGGGGTTTTATTTCCTTCCGGATATACAATTTCAAAAGTGGGAAATAGGTGTCCTCCCTAGTTGGATTTACCAATTCCGACAGGAGTAGGTGCTAAAATTTAATCCTAATTCCATTTCCCCTAATTCCATTTCCAGTATTTTTGTAAGCTAATTCCATTTCCCCTATTTTGACACGTCAGATAAAAAATCCCGCATTTTGAGAATTTCCTCACATTTTCATGCGCATTTTATACAAGTTTTGGGGTAAGAGTCAATCTTCAAAAATCAAGCAAGAGTCACAAGGATAATTCCACATATTTAGCTTGTGCACATACGCTAGATACAAAAATGATCTTTGTAACCACTTTTGTACCCACTTATGTTTGTGAACGTTTTTTTTTGTCTCTGAACCCCGATTTACAAACAAAAAAAAAATCACAAATATGGTAGGTATAAGGTGGGTATAAGAGTGAGTACATCAAACATTGTTGGGCTAAATAGGGGCGTCTACAAAGACGCATACAAATGAATGTACAATATGATTTTTCCAAACAAGAAAAGCAAAAGTACTTTAATCACAAAAAGCCAAGTCATTTTAACATGGGCACTTTTTATAGTGTTCACACTCCACACTGAAAAATGCATAGGACCTCTGTAAGTACCGGGGACAGAGCCTCACTCTCTATCTGTCAGATTGTGATTATAGTCCAATTTACATCCTCCCATCGTGCCGTTCGGTCGGTGTTGGGGACCCTCATGGATGGAGTGTCATCCTTTTTTTTGTGAAAATAAAGTAATGTGATCGTGTATGCCACATGTGGTTTAGGCGTTTAGCATATGGCTTTGTTTCCATTCTCACAAGCGGTCAGAACAATGGAGAATCCATTCGTTCGTAAAGGTAAAAAATTTACAAAAGTGATGTTTGTACCACTTTATATCCACTTTTGTATACATCTATGTTTGTGAAGTGTCTTTTTTTCTTGTGAATCCTGGTTCACTGACACTATTTTGCACAAACAAAATATTGTCTGTGTATCGGGTTCACAGACAAAATAAAACACTTCACAAACATGATGGGTATATGGTGGGTATAAAAGTGGGTATATCAAGCATTGTTGAAAAAATTATTGTGGTCCGTGTAAGAGAGTACAAACTACATTAATTTAAGTAACTTATATAGTGTTTTAACTTATTTTGGTAGTGACTATTTATCATAGGTTAAGCGAAAATAAACCAAAGTGATGATACGACGTTGCAATGGCAAGAGTCCATATGCCATAGAAGTCAAACTCGACACATAGAAGTCAAGTGTTTTTCCCTAAATCATATCATTACTATGATCATTATAAATTCATTATCTTATTAGTATTAAAAATTGTACCAGCAACTCTATCATAACATTTCATTACTTATTTATTGGGGTTTTCGACAACTTTACAAATCCAAACATTTGTTGTAATACTAATCTTGCACGTGAACAATAAAATATATGTGTAGGTCGTCTAATGGAGTTGAGAGGTCTTATTATAAGCGTTAAATTAAATTCTCACACCACAAATCAGAGGAATTTGTATATGTATAAAACAAAATATGATATGATGATTTTTCTTTTCATCTTGTTTTTTTTAAGAGATGAGAAAACGATTGGTGTTGATCATTAGTTGGCACTACAACATTTTGAATCTATTAGTACGCCGAGAAACTGTTGCGCAATAAGAAAAAACCGTTGCCATTGTCTTTAGCAACACTTTCAAAAATGTGGCTATGTAAGGCGTTGCCTATACATTAGGGAACAGTTTTGATACTCAAACGCAACACAATGTGAAAACCATACTCAAATAGTATAGTATAGAGAACAGTTTTTTTAAAATATGTAGGACAACATTTTTGATCCGTTTCTATCAATAGTAACAAGGAACTGTTGCCAAAAAGATTACACCTATTTTCTTCAAACGTTATTACAAAGCACCGTACCACTCATTTGAAATGCCAATATTTTAAAGTGCAGGAGTAATCTTTCACTTGAACAAAGAAGTAATATGCCAATATTACTAAAATAGTTTATGAAATGCTTTGCAATTGAAAAAAGGTAGAATTTTCACTTGACCAATAATCATTCAGAAATCAGGGGTCAACAACTCTATACCTAATAATGATCCATTGTCTTTAAAGCCTAAATTATCATAATAAGAGTGTCTTAACTTTGAACTTAAAACGAAAACAACAAAAGGAATAAAACTTCATCAAATCACGTTCAGCCATCATTGTTTACATCTTCTTCTTCTTCTTCAATTTCTTCATCAATGTCATCATTCATCTACAAAAAAATACTAATGAAGCTTAAACCAAATAAATTATAGAGAACAAAATTATTAAGCACATTATTAAGCTCGGATCAAAAGCATAGCTTGTCGACATTAAACACTGCTGAATAGTAAGAAATAAGGAATTGTTTTGTTGGTTACTACATGATTAGTAGTTACAATTCGTGATCCACCATTTGGTGGACATAAATTACAGAGTCACTATACTTAATCACTGAAAATGTGTTCTCTATTTTCTGTGCCCAAGAGATTCAACAAGAAACCTATTTTACCAATCATAACATGCTTCAAACTGTAAGGAAACAAAAATGAATCAATATATTTTTAACCAGGTCAAGTTAAGAGTTCTATCAAAGTAAATGTTTATCAGAGTCATTGCACATTTTATTAAAATTTCATCATTTCCAGATATTGTTTATACTAGCAATTCTCCAACAAAGCTATTGAAGTAAACACCAAGTACATACATTC